CTTGCTCATTGTAGTTTTTTGTGGTAGTGGTTAATGTTGTCATTGCTTTTGCTCTTTCTGACAGAATTCGACTGAGCTTCTTGCGGGGCAGTAGAGGGCCGCGTCCGACCTGCCATCGCTAGTAGGTTGGTTGATAATTTAAACAATAAATCACGGTGGCCTGGTGGGCGGTTGTCCAGGAGGTCCGGCTTGGCGCGGACCTTGAGAGAGCGTAGCGATTGGAAAATCATTGATGGCTCATCTGAAGGATGAGTTAGGTCAATTCCCTAAAGCAAGCCTTGTAGTCAGTCAGGGTTGTCACTAGTAGTATGGAGCAAACATGTCCGAAGGCGAACGTAGCAGCATTCAAAACGGCAACATCCCAGGAAATCTGCGCTCACCTTGCCAAAGCAACAGATTCAAACGCTTCAAGACTTATTAAGAACACCACTGGACCACCACCACGGAAGGCACCCATTGCTCTCTGCGATCCCACCTTCAGTAGTTCGACTAACACCAGGCACACACCTGTCGCTCTTAATAAAGTCTTAGAGCATGGCCCCTGGGGTGGGAGTCCGAACTCCAAAGTTGATACCAAAGCCTCCAGACAATGAACGAGGGATCAAATGAAAGGACAGTCCAAAAAGCCACTGCATTTACAAGCGGCACATCGCATGGGATTGAACAATCACTGAAATTCGCAAAAAGTTACAAGAAACTACTAGTAGCTCCTGGCCTTACCAGTAGGAACAAGAAGCTACTAGTAGCACAAAAGCTTGGCCAGTTTAAGCGCTGAGCTTTGAGGACTCGAGCTCGTGACGGTTGGATAGCGACCTGCGGTGTCTTCCGCAACGCCGCGTGGAAGTAACTGATATTGCGTCCTTGTTACTAGTAGCTTCTTGTTACTAGTAGTATGGCCAGGAGCTACTAGTAGCGTCCTTGCTCCTAGTAGCGATGCCCTTTGCTACTAGTAGCTTCTTGCTCCTTGTGGTCAGCGAAATCAAGAGAAACCTTGCATTGTTCAATATAATGGGAGGCAGGACTTGGTGGAGGCAAAATCAATTGACTCCCATGTTTTTTGTACGGATCAACGGATCAGTGTCTGACATGACCTGGCCCTCATTCCTCTCAGCCATAGATTGACATCGACAACTAGAAGGAACGAATTGAAATCAAATATATAGTCCGGGACCGAAAGTTAGAATGCCGTGCGGTTTCTCAAAATGTTCATGACAAAAGATAGAATGCCGTACTGAACGAGTTAGAATGCCGTACTGAACGAGTGTTTTAAAGAAAAGCATGAGAAAGACGTGCTTTTTGCCTGCTATTTGTGATGTATTGTACAGTTAGAATGCTGGCTGATTCCAGGCGGTGTCCATTAACCGATAACATCAAAAAACACTTACAAAAGCACAACAAATAACGGTTGGAATGCCTCCTACGGGTCTTCAAAAAGGTTGGTTGGATGAATGGGTGGATGGTCATGGATAGATGGAGATGGATGGAAATGGGTGGGTGGGTAGGTGGGTGGATGGATGGATGGATGGATGGATGGTGGGTTTGTGGGTAGGTGGATGGATGGATATGGATGGAAAGGGTGGATGGATGCATGGATGGATGTGGGTAGGTGGATGTGGCATTCTATCTGTTTGATCTGTCGTAAGGGTCGTTCTCTTTTGTTCTTTTTGTGGGCAAGCGATGAACTCATATCAACACATATAAGAAATCATAAAAGGCATTCAATCTGTCTGCTCCGTCGTAAGGGTCGTTCTCTTTTGTTCTTTTTGTGGATATTACAGGTGCAACAGCATTCTATCTGGGTCATGATTTCATGATTTTGGCGGCATTGCTGTAAACGGCTGATATCATCTAAAATCGGCATTGATATTTCCCAAACCGTCATTCTAACTTTCAGTCCCGGACTATAATTGATCACACCATTTCACATGACAAAATATGTCGATATTATCTTTTCCTATGTGTTCATTTTCGCGTTTCTGATGTCAACTATTTATACAATATCCGCCTTTAATATCCTTTAATCCTTAGCCTTAGTCGTACCCTGCCCTTCCCAGGCTCAGACCTCGCCCAACATCCCGCTGCTGCGGCGACCTCAAATACAGTCGGAGGTAGTTGGGTCAAGATCTTATAAGCGTATTATACCTCAGCTTGTTCCAAAATAGCTCAGTTCAAGTACATCTGAATTAAGCTTCATAGGGTTTTTGAAAAGAAGTCTAAGAGAGGGAAATCAGAAGGTGAGGGCCCTTACCTTTTCTTTCCTCTTATATAGTCCTCTTGGGGTTGTGTAGAAACCATCAATGGACGACTTCCCATCGGCACATCCCCAAGTCCACAATCTTATCATTTGGTGTTCTACTCAACTCAGGTTGGTGCCTGAGCTCCAGGTTGGTGCAGGAATTGGCAAAACGGTCTCCACGGTAACACTAGCATGTTGGCATGTTGGATTTTCTTACTGCAAACCGAAGAGTAAGTTGTTTGTTTGTTCCACTGCCCTATTGGCTCCAAGCGCCCAAGGCCTGAATTAATTCAGCTTTCGCACAAAGGGGCGAGGAATAGAAGCTACACATGCAAACAAACAAGAAATCAATGAACAGGGTAACAGAACAGCTGCAGCATCCAAAAGCTTACCAAGGGCTGCAGGCATCCTGAATGGACTTGCGCTGACTCCATCGCCAAGGAACTCGTTCCGCCGGGAAGACCCTGCAGGAGTATGACATAACTTTTGGAAGCCCTTGCAGACTGAGCTGAATTTCAACGTGCAAGAAGCCAAAAAATGACGTGGTTCAAGGAAGCTACTAGGGGCTCCTCGCCTTACTACTAGGAGCAAGGAAGCTACTAGGGGCAAAGGGCATCGCTACTACCTCTGTGGTTCTCTCTCTCTCTCTCTAGCTTGATCGCAGATTCGCCTCGCGGAGGCGGATCGTTCGAACTGGCTCGTCTCTCCCTGGCATTCTTCTCAAGACACGCAGGGCTCTCCTCTAAAAGAATACGTTCAAAGACTTTGAAAGTGTATATACTGCACGCAGTAAGACAAAAGAACTGATGTTCTGAAGAAATACATGAGCAGCTAAGTTGTTGAGCTCAAAGTCAAGACAAATCCGCACGGAGGGCTCTGGAACTGGACTTTCCTCGGCGCCAGCGTACTCAGCTCGTATAAAGTCTAAGCTTTTCTGCCTTCGATTCTCCCTGTGGGCTGATCCCCTCAACAATCAAAATCCGCACTGGGTTCCAAACGCTTCTACGCCCCATGGTGAGGGAGTCTCTGAGATTGGTTGGGCCTGGGTTCTCCGTCGCAAAGTGCACCGTAAACGAAACTACGTCAGCTACGCTCCAACGGATTTGTAGCTTAGCCCGCCCAAACTTAATTAAGTAGGCGCCTACCGAATTTATGTAAGGGAGAAGTAATCTACTAGCAATAGGAAGCTCGACGCAGGATAGCTCACGCTTCTTCAAGGGGCAGAGGGGAGCTTCCTTGAAGGAAGCGCTCGCACTATATAATGATTTGGTTCCTAGGTTTTTGACATGAGAAAAGTTTTAAAAACTGCTTGTCAAATGTATCCTTTGGTAGTTGGGTCATGTCGCCTTTTCGGATCTCGCGAGACTCTGGGGCACGTGGATCCCGGTCTCGCAGATCCCGGTCCCGCACATCCCGGGTGGCTGGCCTCAAATTGAAATGGAGTGAGACTTGGACACAGCTATCCAACCTGACCTAATAGCGATGGCCTTCAACTGAATAGCGATGGCCTCCAACCTACTAGACTCAGCTTGACCATCCTAGGCTCTCTTTGCTTATTATATAGGTCTCTCACTTATAGGTCTCTATTTATGATCATTTCTCGACTCAGCACTCATGGGGCTTTTGAGGCAGACATCATTGGGTATCCAGCATCGGGGAGCCACGCGACGCCTCAGCACGGGTCAACTTGCTGCAACCACAGCAACCTCAAACAAGGTGCCTCAAGGACGCTACGAACGGAGCAAAGGGCATCGCTACTAGAAACAAGGACGCTACTAGGGGCTCCTGGCATCGCTACTAGGAACAAGGACGCTACTAAGAGCAAACCACGATCGGTGCCTCAAACCCGGAGCTGCTCCCCATGGGATGTGGGCCTTAGCAACCACTGCAATTGCAGGCAGCTTGTTCCAGTGCCAGATCTAAAGTCTCGGCAGCTAAAGAGTTTTATTGGTATTAAAAACGCTCCAAGTGGCCCAAAACAAGGCATCTTTTCGCCACATTCCCTCAGCGGAGCAGGTCAACCCTCTCACTTGGCTGCGAATACCTCCATCTCAGAAGTAGTGATCCAAGCATTGTTCTGGTACTTGATGATGC